ACGAAGGCGTTTCCCCGTATTGACGGAGCAATACGGAGGTTTATCTTAGTAAATACGAAGGCTGCTCTTCGTAAATACGAAGCAATACGGAGGTTTTCCTTAGTATATACGAAGGTTTTTCTCAGTAAATACGAAGGCTGCGCTCCGTAATTACGAAGCAATACGGTGAATTCTCTTAGTACGTACGAACGTCGGTCACCTTACTGACGAAGCTATACTAAGGTTTCTCTCAATATATACGAAGGTTGCTCTTCGTACTTAGGAAGCCATACTAAGATTTTCGACGCCATCCTACGATTCTTCTAAGTAAATTGGAAGGATGCTCTTGGTAATAACGAAGCGAAAGTAAGAGATCTCTTAGTTAATGGGCTACCTTACCAAAGGGTAACGTTCACATGAGCGACGCGATTCAAGGCTTTCGGGAAGCCTACAGGAAGAGGTTTCTCCTTATGGCGTAAGCCAAATGCTCCTAAGTAATCGCTATGAAGCTATTAGTATATCACGGTTTCCTTTCATAACCTACCGGAAACGGTCGTACTTTTGCCGTGCACTGCCCAGTGAACGTTTTCAAAAATGTGGACGCACAATACATGAAAGCAATACGTAAACACACTGCTGCGAAGAGTAAATTGTCCACTTACCCATAGGGTATTTGCAGCCTGATTTCCCTTCTCCCCGTCCGACTAGGTAACGAAATGACCAGGGAGTAAATACCGCATTTGTGATGCAGTCAATCCCACACCATTGCAAAAGCTGGCTGACATCTTAATGCAAATGTGAACGAGCGTAGGTTATCAGCTACTGCGAAATATGAAACCGCGCAACGTAGTTGTCCCTGTCTTTTGATAAATGAAAGACCATGGCCTGCAGTGCCTTCCTTCCAGTCACGCAGTAGTCGGAAGCGGTAGTCACAATACGCGCCGAGACGGTGACATCGTATAACATATGCGGAAATCCCAGACAGCGATTGAAGCACACCAGGAAATGGTTACAAATGTATATTAAAGTGCATGTAAACATTTACAAGTTTGTCCGTGTTTCACGAATGCTTTGATTGTCTAAATCTATCAAATCCAAAGGCTGTAAATGAAACCGTTATGTACGGCATTAAAGGTACACAATACCTGCGATTCCTGACTGCTTGATGTGGCAGATGTACGCCGGTGCATGTTGCTCCGGGTAATCTGTAGCCATTTGCAAACGCCGTTCGCAACGGCGTTGCCCGTGACCCCAAATCGGTTAACGATAACTTCTGTGAAGGAAGATAAAGTGGGAAAGGTTATCTGAGTTACCTTGAAGCGCACTGAATGTGTGCGTTTTCTTGAACGGTATCGCATTGTTTGCACCGGCGAAGTTCAGCTGCCTCAAGACGTCTCTGTTCATAACCCTGTCCAACATGTATCGAATAGCCTCCGATACCGTGCCGGCGGGTGTACAGTTCATGCGGGTAGTCTAAGTCATGAATGGAAAATCCTGCAAGGTGACTTACCAGTTCTCGACGGAGGTCGGGGTCCACCAACATACCCTCCAAGTCCATGAATTCCTCAATGGATGAGGTAGGTAGAGATAACTCATTCGGTTGCATTGGTTTGGCAGTCCACATGGCCTGGCTCATGGCCGCGTGGCTCTCCTTCAATACGTGAAGGGTCTCCTCCACGCGTCTAAGTGAATCTGCTAATTCGTCGCAAGTAAGAAGCTCAAACATACCGACCACAGCGTGCAAAGTGTGCATGACCCTTTTGTCAGCTTCATGACACCTGCCTGCCAGGGCGTGTATCTAAAGCGCAAACCCGGAAGACTTACAGCATTTGATACCGTTCGTTTGAACGGCTACTTCATTACATCCACCTGTTGCGGAAAACGGAATTACGGAAATGGGAACTTACGCATGTGGGAATCCTCCTGGACGTCATCAGCATTCTGAGGAGGCATGGTATGCCGCGCCAACTCCTCCAACGAGAAATCAGGAAAACTCCCATAGCTTGCAGATGCAGGAGCGTTGCAGCGTTTTTTCTTGTTGATACATTATCATCCCCGTAATCACGAAGTTTCGCCGGCAGGCGTCTGCAATGCATTGCGTTATCAATTGTGTAGCGCATTACATAACTCGTTTCGGTGATGTTTGCATGGGGATGGTGCAATCGGTGTCCGTCCCATGACGTTGATCCGCGACGGTACTTTCCACTCGGCGTGCGTCCTCGAAATGCACTGCAAATGATTAAATGCATGTCCTTACCTGTACGATGAAGTACCGTCACTGGAAACATTTTATAATCAGCTATGGGGTATCTATGCTCCCGCACAGCGTGGTGGTAATCGAACCGTGGAAGGTTGGGCAAAAGACCATGCTGCCCGTCCTCCAAAAGCCATCTGCTGCTTATTGTGGTCACCTGGGACACACCGTCGTGCGTGTAAGTGACAACGCAGAAATCCCACAGCGGCATATCTGTAGAAGCCATTACATACGTGATTACCGTAAGCATCCAACTGCTGGACGCCCCCGGAAGAAGCGAGAAAACAGACAACACAATCAACCGCAGACTCCGGATGGAACACTCGGAAGTAATCTATGGAAAGAGTATATTTTAATGCGTGTCATCCTTAATGGTGCCAGAAACACAACATTAAATCATTTCGTGGCCTTCCTATGTTCCTCATGTCGTGAATGTCGCAAGTTCCCCTCCGATCCATCTTTCCGTGTTGGTTAGTGCAAGGGAAATTACTGACGTGATCTCGCATAACTGGGACATAACAAAAAGCGGCACTTACCGGAGGCTGTGGGCACAAAGGAATAGAGGTACTTGAATACCTGTTATCAACATGGGCCGCATCTTTGAGTTTTCAAAATGTTTGAATTTTTTTTTCTTTTTCAAAATCATTTTGATTTCTTTTCCGTCTCCAGATAAAGTGTTACCATAAGGATAATGAAATGGTCACATATACAATGCGGATAAAACGCATGTCCAATTGCCCCTGCAAAATGTAGGCTGACACCCAACGTTGTGTAATCAGCGCCGCATGCAATAGCGTTCAATACTCTTTAATGCGGGCATTGCTTGCCGTTGACGCACCATTAATAAACACGCATAGCCGGCAAACGCCGTTAGCACCATATGTAAGGGTATCCTGCAGCACTCATACCTTGTGATCATTGCATACATCAATAACAACGCAAACCTACGGCACCCTGGGTTTTTGCGTTCTAAATGTATGCAGCAATGGGATGATGACTTCGTCTAAACCGACGGTGAAACATACGCATTAGCATAGGATGTCATGAATAGGAAACCGCCGCAAGTCATCAGACACACCGTTAGCAACATAAATGTGCAGCCTGGAAGATGGCATACTATGGACGTATAAATCTCTGAGATGTAGGAATGATGCGCAGTTAACATATGCGGTTGCCGCAACGTCCGGTTGCAACGATAGGATCTGGTACGGTTTCGTTCGTACGATGATTACGTTGTCCGGTTTGCATGTGAAAAACACGGTCCCATTTAACCTAAAACCCATTTGCCTATTTATTTCGACGAGGGCTATAGTTTCACATAAGTTGGAGGACTGATTACCATTGCAAAAGTTTCCCTGGAACTCCATACACCGTCGCAAAAGCTGAGGTACGATGTTCACTGGGCTTCGTATTCGCCTTTTCAGACACCTAATGTAAGATTCGAAAGGGAACGCGGAGAAATCATCCAGTGTCCCATGTGCATAAGCAACTTGTGCCATATGACACAGGGAATGCATGCTGAATGTCATTTCTTCAGCCCCATACAGTTTGAAGAAACGCGAAATAAACACCATAAGTACATTATGTGCAAAAGAGCAACATTTTCTGAATAGCAATGGATGACAAAGCAGATAAATACCTAAATGCAAATCCAAGAAATTGACGTAATAGTCCAGGGGCAAAATATCCGCCAGAACCGCTGGTCCGGCATACAACAAGAATTGCCGAAATTTAGACGATTTCCACCATCTGAACTTATCTACGCTTCTACAATCGCGTGGAAAAGCACGCGGCCAATGACACTGATTAATGTCAAGGACATCGTTAAGACGTGACACAGTGTCCATATCCAAGCGAAAATCCTTGATAGCGGCTGCAGTTGTCCACAACGATCTCAGGCGTGGCATAACACCCAAGCAACCAGCATGCATATAGTCTATAGGAAACTGCTCCACCATGTCTATGGGCAAGTATTCAAATGGTGACCATTTGCTACGGCTGTGCGCACGGAAGGACTTATTGGTACGTAGGCGGCAATCGGTGCAAGGAAAGGTTACTTTCCCAGAGACCTAAACACCTTGCTGCACACATTTGTCGCAGCTGCCGTACCCGGAATGTGCTTTACTACGCTTCACATATGACCTGGCTGGTGCATCACAAATGATATTAGAGATACGCACAGCGTTTGGTGCAGAGCGACCGGGCAACATCACGCCTGTTCGAAGTAACGTTCTCAATGAAGTTACAAGTGGAGCCAAGAAGTGGTGTACATTCCACGGTTTCCGTGGACCCGAGTATACACCAACCAAAAAGGGATGCGATATCAAGGGCGCCACAGACACACACAAAATGGGCCAAACTTGCACACCGGATGAATTAAATGGTGAGAGCCCATCCACATGCAACTGCAGGTGAATGCTCTGGTAGGTGGGCACACTTTCGTACCGGTAAGCCATCTTCAGACCGTCAATTATCCTCATGTGACCATACGTACCAGGATGTACCTCCATCTCGTTAGTGGTTCTTGGAGTTTTCATCAACGTCCGGTAATCCTTCGGTAGAGACGGTATAAACTTACGCAACCCTTCCAGAAGCTGGTTAACAGCCCAAGCCGAGGTGTTTGTATTAAGCACCCATGATGCGAGGAAACTACGTGCCTCATCACACGGCGTTGGTGACGTAGTCAAATCTATTGCAGTGCAATCATGCTCCCCTATTTCGCAGCTCATGGTTTGCACGTCCTCACTCTCGGTTTCCGTCCTTGATGACTGAACGGAGAGTACGTCGGTGGATTCGCGTATACAGCGGTTGCGGTCCGCATCTGAAAGGTTCCGCGGTGGCGAGATGCAGCAGTCTACAAACACACAAAAAGGTTGTCTGTGAACCTTACCTCCCATAATTGAATCCACGTTACAAGTGGGGCTATCGTCGCGCTCACTGAATGCCTCACGCTCTGCGAGTCTACGCAAAAGCAGCAATCGCATTCTCAATGTGCGTGCAGAAGGTAACGCAAACGAACAACGACGTCTTGTTAAACGACTACGCATCTCTAGAACATGAAATATTAACTGAACAAACGCTTACGTAACGCTGGTTACACAAAAAGAGGTGTGTGAAGTGAATAATGGACGTACCGACAAGGAGACCAACAGGGAAACCGTAGAGCAATCAAATGACCGCGCACTTCTATTTCCGGGACAAAAGGTATGCAAACAAACACTGATGTTTACCTTAATGAACACAAATCCACATTATACCTCACTTTATAATCCTTTGACGTAATTATACGTAACGTTGATTGTTCAACAAAAACTTTCTTTGTATTATTTTTGGACCAATCATACATCTACATAGAAAGTCCACGGACTGCCTTTCTATTGGTTCGTGAATGACGAAGCAAAACGAAGACCAACCTTCGTAAGGGTTCGTCATTGACGAAAGTACACGAAGATTAACCATCGTTTTGCTTCGTCAATGACGAAACTTTACGAAGAAAAATCTTCGTAAAGGTTCGTCAGTGCCT